AAGCAATACACATAATACATAATTTCACTCTGCATTCAGCTTACATCATCTTCACTGGCACATTATCCAAAACAAACAAGGATTTCTGTGCGCACAAAAAAAAAAGGTTAGTCCAATCTTCGTACTTTTTTGGAATTGTGCATTGGAAGAACGTCATTGCACCTTAATTCGCCTAAAGACATGGGTCTTACGGATTAAAAAGTTCAAGCCAGTCTACCATAAACAACGCCATATCATTGCTGATTGGGTCCTTAAATTTCATGTAAATCGATCTAGTTCGATGAGGCACATTTTCAACGCGGCGGTTCGTTTATAAAGCTAAATTTAGACCTACAAAGTAAAAGTGATCACAAATAATAGCCAAAAACGATGAAAACTCAATAGTGATCACAAATAATAGTTAAAAACGCTGAAAACTCAATATTTAAGGAGTTATGGCCATTTTAAAGTTTTCATTAATTCACTTTTAAAAAAGTGATCACGATTGATAGCTAAAACCCCGAAAACTCAATATTTAAGGAAACCTCAACATTTAAGGAGTTATGGCCATTTTAAAGTTTTTATTAATTCGTGCTTAAAAAATTGATCACAAATAATAGCTAAAAACGCTGAAAACTCAATATTTAAGGAGTTATGGCTATTTTAAAGTTTTCATTAATTCACTGCTAAAAAAGTTATCACAAATAATAGCTAATAACGCTGAAAACTCAATATTTAAGGGGTTATGGCCATTTTAAAGTTTTCATTAATTCACTCCTAAAAAGTGATCACAAATAATAGCTAAAAACGCTGAAAACTTAATATTTAAGGAGTTATGGCCATTTTAAAGTTTTCATTAATTCACTCCTAAAAAATTGATCACAAATAATAGCTAAAAACGCTGAAAACTCAATATTTAAGGAGTTATGGCCATTTTAAAGTTTACATTAATTCACTCCTAAAAAAGTGATCACAAATAATAGCTAAAACGCTGAAAACTCAATATTTAAGGAGTTATGGCCATTTTAAAGTTTTCATTAATTCACTCCTAAAAAGTGATCACAAATAATAGCTAAAACGCTGAAAACTCAATATTTAAGGAGTTATGGCCATTTTCAAGTTTTCATTAATTCACTCCTAAAAAAGTGATCACAAATAATAGCTAAAAACGCTGAAAACTCAATATTTAAGGAGTTATGGCCATTTTAAAGTTTTCATTAATTCACTTTTAAAAAAGTGATCACGATTGATAGCTAAAACCCCGAAAACTCAATATTAAGGAAACCTCAATATTTAAGGAGTTATGGCCATTTTAAAGTTTTCATTAATTCACTTTTAAAAAAGTGATCACGATTGATAGCTAAAACCCCGAAAACTCAATATTTAAGGAAACCTCAATATTTAAGGAGTTATGGCCATTTTAAAGTTTTTATTAATTCGTGCTTAAAAAATTGATCACAAATAATAGCTAAAAACGCTGAAAACTCAATATTTAAGGAGTTATGGCTATTTTAAAGTTTTCATTAATTCACTGCTAAAAAAGTTATCACAAATAATAGCTAATAACGCTGAAAACTCAATATTTAAGGGGTTATGGCCATTTTAAAGTTTTCATTAATTCACTCCTAAAAAGTGATCACAAATAATAGCTAAAAACGCTGAAAACTCAATATTTAAGGAGTTATGGCCATTTTAAAGTTTTCATCAATTCACTCCTAAAAAAGTGATCACAAATAATAGCTAACACGCTGAAAACTCAATATTTAAGGAGTTATGGCCATTTTAAAGTTTTCAAACAGATAGTAAAAACAATACTTCCTTTTTTCCGAAAACATACAATATTTTCTTTATTTTTGTGATATATTTTTGTTAAATTAGATGTATGATTAAAATATAATACATTTGTCAATTTGTAATTTGTTAATTATTTTATCTAAACTACTATAAAACGCATAAAACGGTATTCTAAGTTGTTTGTTAATTTAATTTTATTCAATAATGCATAAAGATCTGTTTCGCCGTTACATGATATTTTTTTTTGTTTGCATACAAAAATAAGATTCACTAAGTACATTTTTTACTCTCGATCAGTGATATGGTGCTTAGGTGAGCAGGAGAATAGTGACCATTATGAATTGAGATCCAAGTTATGTTTTTTTTTTTTCAATAGCAAGGAATTTGAATCTTTATAACACGAGCGGAGCTAAGCCTTTTCTAGTAGGATGCTAATTTTGTCCATTTTCCAGCCATTAGAAATTCTCACCAATTGTCAACTGTGGAGGTACCTTCCCAGTTAGGGGCAAGTCGCGATAGTAAACAAAGAATATGTGACAAAGCGTGTAACTCTTTAAAACACGGATCCGAATCAAGAGGTAAAAATTCTTGAGAAACTACAAGTACGAAATGTCAATCATGCAGTTCTATAAGCCACCAAAATACTATTGGTAAGTTTTGAAGAATCACCGACTTGCTTCGCAAGTTATGACAGATAACAGTATTGCAAATTGTGACCCTTTGTGGGTGATGTATCAGAAGGGATTGGCAGACATATATCACCATCACAACATATCTTGCGTTATCAAAAATATTTGTATGTGTGAAATTTGGAGAGAGTTGGTTGCATTTCCCGTTTTCTTTGAGGGTTTTGTTTTTCAAAAATCTTGGATCCTATGTGGGGGAGGTACCAGAAAAATGGTCCGTTCTCTGCCTTCTTTATAACAATCAGTTTCTATAAGCCACCAAATTACTATTGGTGAGTTTTGAAGAATCACCGACATGCTTCGCAAGTTATGACAGATATCAGTATTGCAAATTGTGACCCTTTGTGGGTAAGGTACCAGAAGGGATTGGCAGATATATGTCACCTTCACAACGGATCTTGCGTTATCAAAAATATTTGGATGTGTGAAATTTGGAAAAAGTTGGTTGCTTTTCCCGTTTTCTTTGAGCATTTTGTTTTTTCAAAAATCTTGGATCCTATGTGGGGGAGGTACCAAAAAAATGGTCCGTTCTCTACCATCTTTATAACAGATCTCGTGTTGATGGAAATATTTAGATATTTTTACCCTTTATGGGGGAGGTCCCAGAAGAAGTGGACCGATATATTCCATCTTTACACCAGACCTTGCACATCAGAGAATATCTTGTGCAAGAAGAAGTAATGGGATGTGTAAAATATGCTTATTTCGGATTTTATGATAGTTTTTGGTTATTCAAAACATTGACCCTTTGTGGGTGATGTACCAGAAGGAAGGTCCGATCTCTACCATCTTTATAACAGATCTTGTGTTGATGGAAATATTGAGATGTACCAATCCTAAATGGAATCAGATGTTAATTTTGTGTTTTATGAGCTTCATGAATATTCAATTTTTTCCCAGAAGGAGTGAACCGATATATTCCATTTTCACACCAGACCAGGGGTTAATAAAAATGAAGTGATGCGTTTAATTTGAAGACAATTACATTTCATAAGAGTTATAATTATTCAAAATTTTGACCTTTTGTGGGGGAGGCACCAGAAGGAGTGGACCGATATTGTCCATTTTTGCACATGACCTAGCACTGATGAAAATATTAGGATTCACAAAGTTGGAGCAAAACTCTTTCTGTGCAGTAAATTATTTTCTTTGAAAATGTTGACATTTTGTGGGGGAGGTACCAAAGGGTATCGATATTACCCATTTCCGAACTCGATCTAAGTTTGATAATAATATTACGATGTATCAAGTTTGCGCACCAGCCAGCCAGGCAGACGGACACCGCTACATCGACTTCAAATCTTCCAAACCCGTTAAGACACGTTTTGGTTCTATTAGATGAATAATACCCTATTCAACCATAATGATCATGATATAAAAATCATATATGATGTCACCCTACAAAAGATGGAGACGAATTGGTTCTCAGTCACACACTCAACTGTTACTGCAATAGAGCAATTGATTCATTCCATATTTGTTACACCAAACCTACTGTTTTGGCTTTTATAGATTCAATTCCCTATCAAAGCAAACGGATAATGCGACCTGAAAAATCTAACGGCTCTGTTTTACTCTAGAATTCCATTTCATACTTTGTCTCGAAAAGTAAGATTTAATTCAAAAACAATTACATTTTATTCCTCAAATGGCTTTACAAACAGGAGATTCAGTTAAATTGTTTTTTTTTTCTTAATCTGCTGTTTTTAGAAGTTAATCTGCTGTTTTTAGAAGTATCATTGAAACATTATTTAGATACTAACGGGAAGACACTTCTTCTGTCATCTGTGTAAGTAACGCCCAGAGTCTCCTTCTTAATTGTCAATGAAGTTGAACTTTCATTTATTGCACTAATTGGAATGTTTTTTGTATTTGACGATACTCTCCAGCATTTCACTATTTTCTAAGTGCTAGCCTTTATCCTTTGTATAAATATGTTTAATTGAAGTCTCCTAGAAATTCTACACATAAACTTCCAGTGTTCATTATAGTCAGCAGCCGTTAGAAATTAAGTTTTAATGTAACGCCAATACCACATTTGATCGAAAGTAAAAAACGAAAGAAAGAAAAAAATCGTGCGTCTAGTTATTTCGTTTTCCTAAACATTGTCAAGCATTTCGTGATGCTTATCTCGTTTATATTTTGTTATGATAATTTCTTAATAATATTTAAGTTTTAATTATTTTCAAAAAAAAAAGTAATACACATAATACATAATTTCACTCTGCATTCAGCTTACATCATCTTCACTGGCACATTATCCAAAACAAACAAGGATTTCTGTGCGCACAAAAAAACTATTTCCTTATAAAGATCCAGTCATGAGATAATCTTATACAAGAAGAATAAAATAAATAAATACATATACATGTATAATAAATCATATTAACAAAAAAAATGTATAACAAATTGGATAAGAAGATTAAACGAGAAATAAATATATATTAAGTTGAGGTTAAACACACACACATACGCGTATAGGAGGGAGGAGGAATGTTTTGGTTTGACACAAGACTTGTTTCATTTGAGAATTCACCCTAGTTTTATTTTTCTTCGAGGAGGCATTTAGTTTTCTCCTTGCAAAGAGTTGGCCTTTTCCGTTTAGTTCAAAAAACTCAAAATATCCTGCTGACTCAGGGTATTTAGATTTCGACTATCCTGTGATTGATTTCCAGAATTCATTGTTGATTGTGGCATCAATGGCTGCGTTGACATCGATGCCGAATTCATGGCCATGGCATTCATATTCATGGAATTGTTGAGACCCATTAAAGGTGTTGTGGAATTTGTTTTCATTGCATTATAACCGGGTGGATAAATATAATCGACCGTTGGTTTTTGCAGTGTAAATGAATTGGCTGTTGTTGAGCTAGACATGGGTTGTTTTTGTTGTGATTGTTTATTACCCCCAAATGGATCTAAATCATCCAATGAAGAGAAATTGTTATTGGGTGTGGTTGAAGCCGTTGTACTCATGTTCGCTGTTGAAGGGGGTGGTAATTGATGATTCATTACCAACGGATTGGCACTGTGCCATGAATTTTGTTGCCAGTCACTGCTATTGTTGCTATTACCAGTTGGACTATAGGGATTTGCGGAAACCAAAGCATTGCTTGGTGGTTTGGCCAATGCATTGTTGCCACCAATATTACTGAGATTGGAATTCATTAGAGATGATAATATATCCGGTTTGGCCGAATTGTTGTGGGAGATCCTAGATGAAGTAGAAACAGAATAATATTAAAATTGCCATTCAAATCGTTAGGTGTCGATTACTTACTTTAACTGCTCTCTTGGTTTGTTGTTTTGTTGATTGGTTGTTATTGCTGAAGTAGAATTGCTTATTGGCTTATTTGCTGGTGGCTGACTGATTGAAAATCCCGAAAACATATCATCGTCATTCGATGGCGATGTGACTTTGCCCGATGAACCTTTCTCCAATTCAGTAGCCAAAATTTCAGCAGCATCTTTGGGTCTGAAATAGAAGGAATAATTAATTAAAAAACAAAAGGGTAGATAGTTAGGCAAGGAGTATTTTTAGACGAAGACAGACATGCGTCTCTAAATATAGAGCTAAAGCCAGGACAGCTGCTCTTTATGTGAACAAACAGAAGTCAGCTCAACCGGCCGATATATAGACAAGCTGAAGCCAGTTCAGGTAGACTATTAATAGACGAGATGACGTTAGGCCAAGGTGTATATTCATAGAGGAGCTGCAGCCATGCCATGGATTCGATTTATGAAAGAGATGAAGCCGCGCCTGCGAGTCTATTTATAGACGAGCTGAAGCCGCGCCTGCGAGTCTATTTATAGACGAGCTGAAGCCGCGCCTGTAGGTCTATTTATAGACGAGCTGAAGCCGCGCCTGCGAGTCTATTTATAGACGAGCTGAAGCCGCGTCTGCGAGTCTATTTATAGACGAGCTGAAGCCGCGCCTGCGAGTCTATTTATAGACGAGCTGAAGCCGCGCCTGCGAGTCTATTTATAGCCGAGCTGAAGCCGCGCCTGTGAGTCTTTTTATAGACGAGCTGAAGCCGCGCCTGCGAGTCTATTTGTAGACGATCTGAAGCCGCGCCTGCGAGTCTATTTGTAGACGATCTGAAGCCGCGCCTGTGGGTCTATTTATAGACGAGCTGAAGCCGCGCCTGTAGGTCTATTTATAGACGAGCTGAAGCCGCGCCTGTGAGTCTATTTATAGACGAGCTGAAGCCGCGCCTGCGAGTCTATTTATAGACGAGCTGAAGCCGCGCCTGCGAGTCTATTTATAGCCGAGCTGAAGCCGCGCCTGCGAGTCTTTTTATAGACGAGCTGAAGCCGCGCCTGCGAGTCTTTTTATAGACGAGCTGAAGCCGCGCCTGCGAGTCTATTTGTAGACGATCTGAAGCCGCGCCTGCGAGTCTATTTGTAGACGATCTGAAGCCGCGCCTGCGAGTCTATTTATAGACGACCTGAAGCCGCGCCTGCGAGTCTATTTATAGACGAGCTAAAGCCGCGCCTGCGAGTCTTTTTATAGACGAATGTAAGCGGGTTTATTATTTAAACGAGCTGAAGCCTTCACACCAGCTGATCTATATATCGAAGAGTTGAAGCCGCCACACTTGCAGTTCTAGATATCGATGAGCTGAAGCCGCCCCAGCAGCTGGTCTAGATATAGACTATACTTTATTTACTTGGTTGAAAGTAAAAAGGAGAATAACCACAAATTTCGGAATTGTGGCTTTGCAGTAACATTTCCTCTGTTCGATTTCAATCTGTGCGATATTATGCTTTGGTTTTTCAGATTATGATTATCCCATTACAGTTTTACTCTGCTCCGGTAATACATAAAAAACGCAGCCTTATCAAAAATCCCCCGATTCACAAACGCATACATTATACACCTAATATATATTCATTATAAACTCACTTATTATCTCTTTGTATTGTTGATAATTGTTCCAATTTCTCCCTTTGTTCTTTTTCGACACGAGCAAACATTTCCTTGATCAAGGCAACGATTGTATTAAATTGAGCAATGGTTAGGCCATTTTCAACACTCAATGGTATTAAAAATGGTATGCATTTGTGGGCCATGACATCCTTGGTTATGCCCAATTTGGTATTGGTCATGGCTATTTTGTAGATACCTATCAAAAAGAACAAATACAAATTATAAAATAATTTTCAGGATTATGACAATTTGGACTCACCAATAATGGCCATAATAATTGCCGGTTCACGACTTTGTATTTGTTGTAAAAATGGTAGGATTTCATCCAACACCAACCACTTATCCAAGTTTTCCAATAGCTTACCAATCGATATTAGGCAATTCACTTTCACCGACACATTTGACGAGACTAAACACAGTTTCTTAATTCTTGGTATAACAGAATTTTTCATGGCATTATAATCGATTAATGTGGAAAATGTTGGCAATACATTTAGACACAACTCTTGTATTTGTGGCATATCACATTCCAGCGAACGATAGAGTAACGGCAACACATGCAATTTCACCTCTTCGGCTGGTGTTAATTTTAAAAGTAAATCCATTTTTTGCATAAATATCAAGAGAATTTGTATGGGATCGGTGAGTTTAAATATTGGCTTTAGGTGGGGTAGGATATGGTCACAGTATTCTTTTTGGCTACTCATTTCGGCAATGAGCAAGACATTGGGCAAAACGAATGGGATCATGGGTGAATTGACAAATTCCTTGACCAAATATGGTAAGATTGAATAGAGATTGACACGATGCGGTAATGTGGGTATTATTTGGGGTAGGCCTTTGTAGAATTTGGATTTTTGTAAATTATCCCATTGGTAGAGGGAATCTAAATAGCTGAGGGTCTTAACGCCAACGTCGTGGAAATAGGTTACCTGGAAGATGAAAAAAAAAAGAGGACAAATTAAACAACTTCAACTCAGGAATATGAAAGAATATTTTTTAAGAAATGCAGAACCATTATAGTGGTTTCCTAATAATATTTACTGAATTGTTATTAAATCCTATAATATCCAACTTTTTGTATTTGTTAAAGAATCATTAGGACCAAAAAATTTTCAACTATTCAGGGCATTTTCGAAGCTTTGGCCTCCATACATTATTACACCTTTTAAATAAATTCATCTTCTCCCTCACCTCTTTAAGATCATGCAACTTGGGCCTCAAATGAGGACTGGGATGCAGTAATGCCTTCAAACTTTCGGTCAGCTCACTGGGTACAGCATTCATGGGTGGATATTTGCGTTGATTCAAATCGTTGGCATGCCTTCGAAATGCACTATAGTCCGAACCGAATAGTTTCAATGGTTTTCCAGCATAAATGGTAAAAATCAGAATACCCAAAGAAAACAGATCACTATCCGTAGAATTAATATTATTCAAGGCAATTTCCGGAGCCGTGTATTCCAAACTTGGCTGGGCTAACATATGCATCGATGTTGAATATTCCTTGCATGGCCAGTAGGGCTTACCATCCGGTTGAGGTTGATTGGCAACACAGAAATCAAAACCAAACAATTTCCAGCTACGATTCTTGTTAATCACAATTGTTTCGGCACAAATATTACGATGAACAATCTTGGCATCGTTGTGTAGAAATTGCAAACCATCAAACAGCTGGAGCAGGCCATGGCGTATCTCTACATCGTAAAGTTTCTTTTCCGCCCTCACTTGATCGCCCACAACATTAGCCAAGGAGGCAAAAACTGGTTCTGTGGCAAAGGCCAATGAGTCACGACTCTCCTCCAAAGGATGTTGCACCGTCAAGACATGGGGATGGCGTATCTTTGTCAATTGTTGTACACCTCTGCGTAATGTTTCTAGAATTGCTTCGCGATCCTCCTTGGACCATCGGTCTAAAGCTTTCTTTTCGAACACAAACACCGACACTTCCTGTTTCGTTGATTTCTTGTATCCGTTGTAGACTTTCCACAGCAGACCCACCCCAGCCGTGCAAACCTGATCGAGCACTTCATATTCTCGGGTAACGTTGTTTCCTGGCAGGACACCTGATAATTGTGAAACAGTGGTGTGTACTGTTGAATAGAATTTATTAATGACATCCATTCTTGATTTTCTGTTTTTTCTTTTATTTTTCCACCAGCTGTTAACTTTTTATTGCGTTTAGTAAATGAATTGTTTTAGTTGTTGTTTTTTGTGGATATTGCACTTTTGTTACACGTTTTTGGGCTTTTCGTTTTGTTATTTTAAGGATATTTGCAATTTTTTTATGTATTTTCCCAGATTTTCTAGTATTTTTTCTTCCTTTCTGTTTTTTCTCTGTTTGTTGGTTTACGTTCAGTTTTTCACAGATATGAATTGTCAAATTCAATGTTATGGGGTATGTTCAGTGTGTTGGGCGATTGGAGTATAGGGTTACCGTGTTTTTCGTAAACACAACATTTCAATGATTTAAAAAGAGCACATATATTTCTAAATAAAATTTGTGGGGATTATCTGAGGAATGAAAGTGGACCTTTAAATATTATTTTTGTTGGAGTCTACAACCGTGGAAGATAATAATAATTTTTTCAGTGTCTACCAAATATACGTGAATGTTTCGTGGATATTTTTGGAGATTACCAGAGTAATAAATGAAGGAAGTTTATCCTACACAAATGCTGTTGCTGGCTACCAGAGAAAGTCAATCGATAAGCGCTAGATTGGGATGTGCGACCCCTCAATTTTTTCAGTGCCTTTGGCTGTGAACTTATTAATTCTACAATGACTCTCAATCAAAGCAAATAACGCTAGCCTATCTTTTTAGCTTCACAAATATATAGTAATGGCACTTTCTCGGGACAAACAATATAAACTATTACCATCAATGAGCAAAGCATTTGGCAACCGCTCCACTAATGAAGAAAATGGAAGAAAGAAATAATGGTGGAAAAAAGTGATAGGAGATATAGTTATAAGGGCGATCCACGGCTAGAAATCTTGCCGTGTTGTCTTTAACCACTTACGTTTTCTGGCTAATTGAAGAATTACTGTAGGGTCAGTGTTAGAGAACGAAGACACTTGTTCCCCCACCAATCTATGTCTCACGTTAATGATTGCTGAACAGTTGGCTCAATTTCTTCTTCGTCTTGAAAGATTCTACAGCAATCTATATCTTCGCTGTCCCATTTCGTAGTCATTGCCCTCACCTCGCAGTGACCAGTGATGATACCCACCACAAGTCTTAAATCAGGTTTAGACAAGGACAGTAGCGACTTTGTTCTTTTCTCCAAGAGTGTGGGAAGGATTCTTTGGGAGATGCTGCAGCATTTCCTTTCGTCCAGCCACTTTTGTTGAATTCTCTCAGAGTCGTGTCTATGGATTACTGTAGGAAGGGGCACAAGGGTGGTTTGACTGAGTTCTCAACTTCAATGGTAGCTGATTCGGACCATAGCCAAGCCAACTCGTCTGCAGTCTCGTTGCCTGAAATATTGTAATGACCAGGAACCGAACAGAGCTTGTATTTTCCAGGGATCTCCTGCAGTCTAAAACAACTCCAACACTTAATGGTAGAGGAGTTTAAGGCTTTCAGTGCCACTTGACTATCGACGTATATAGTCAACGGACTGCTAACCTCGTTGTTCCTCGTGACCAAAAAAGTATATGTTTTTTTTGAAAGCAAAGGTTTCCGCCTGTAATACGCTACAGTTGTTTTTAAGCTTACATGATTAGCGAACATTCCATCTTTGAACCGTCGGTATAAACAGTTAATCCGCAGAAAGGTGGATTGTTACGGGCCCAGGCGTTCCCGTCAGGTATGTGGATATCAGGTGGGTCAAAGCTCAACCGTGGTGAAATATAATAACTTGTGTTGGCTTTCACTCCCACATTCCTTACACGCCCTACAAGAATGTCCAAAGGATTGACTGCGCCATAGGTTTAGTTCTCTTGGTCGAAGTGCACACCTAATTGCCTGTTCCCCTACGTGTATGCTTAGTGGGCCGTGCTCTTGAAGGCACCCGTTATTAGTCAATGTCAATATGCCGTAATTATGATGATTTCTTCAAGGAATGCCATCAGACGAGAGTTCCATAGAGTAGAATGGGACGAACAATGGACTCATACACCCATTTGTCGATGCTGAAAGTGTCCGATTTTTTACCGATCACTTTTAACGAGTAAAATGGGCCAGGAAGCGTCATCGGTTTAGCCCTTTACGTAATAAGAAAGGTTGGCTGCTGAGTGATTGATGATTCCGAAAACATATCATCGTTTGATGTTGTTGTTGTAGCTGTAGTACGTGTACAGGGCGAGATGAAAAAACTGCAACCAACTTCAGAAACCCCACTCCTCCGACAGCTGTTAAAATTATGCCTTCTTTACAAGTGTACAAAAGCATTTTGGTGAGAATTCTCCAGGAAAAAAGTTATCGTGACAGAATTCAAGCGTGACAGTTTGATTTCTTTTTATCAGCAACATCAGTAGAAATAGTTCGAAAAGTAAAGAAACAACTTAATCGAAATCCGCGTCGCAGTGGCCGAAAAATGGCTCATGAGCTGAACATATCGCAATATTCCATTCGGTAAATATTGACAAATGAGCTCAGGGTAAAGCCATTGAAATTCCAAAAAGTGCAATAACTTACAGCGGAACAGAAAAAAAATAGACTCAACAGAGCTAAAGAGTTGCTTTGCTTGGCTGAAAGTGGTGAACTGCCGAATTTGGTTTTCTCCGCTACCGGCGACAGAAGCGAAATCGGCCTGTACGAGCCTGAGGGTCTATATATAGGAGTTGAAGACTATAGACACGTAGGAGCGTCTATAGGCTTCTACTCGTCGGGTCTACGCACGTTTTAAAGCCGCGCCTACGGGTCTAATTATATACGAGATGACGACGCGCCTGAGGGTCTACACGTAGGAGCGTCTATAGGCTCCTACACGTCGGGTCTACGCACGTTTTAAAGCCGCGCCTACGGGTCTATATACGAGTTAAAGCCGCGCCTACGGGTCTAATTATATACGAGATGACGACGCGCCTGAGGGTCTATATATACGAGTTGAAGACTATAGACACGTAGGAGTGTCCATAGGCTTCTACTCGTCGGGTCTACGCACGTTTTAAAGCCGCGCCTACGGGTCTATATACGAGTTAAAGCCGCGCCTACGGGTCTAATTATATAAGAGATGACGACGCGCCTGAGGGTCTATATATACGAGTTGAAGACTATAGACACGTAGGAGCGTCCATAGGCTTCTACTCGTCGGGTCTACGCACGTTTTAAAGCCGCGCCTACGGGTCTATATACGAGTTAAAGCCGCGCCTACGGGTCTAATTATATACGAGATGACGACGCGCCTGAGGGTCTATATATACGAGTTGAAGACTATAGACACGTAGGAGTGTCCATAGGCTTCTACTCGTCGGGTCTACGCACGTTTTAAAGCCGCGCCTACGGGTCTATATACGAGTTAAAGCCGCGCCTACGGGTCTAATTATATACGAGATGACGACGCGCCTGAGGGTCTATATATACGAGTTGAAGACTATAGACACGTAGGAGTGTCCATAGGCTTCTACTCGTCGGGTCTACGCACGTTTTAAAGCCGCGCCTACGGGTCTATATATGAGTTAAAGCCGCGCCTACGGGTCTAATTATATACGAGATGACGACGCGCCTGAGGGTCTATATATACGAGTTGAAGACTATAGACACGTAGGAGCGTCCATAGGCTTCTACTCGTCGGGTCTACGCACGTTTTAAAGCCGCGCCTACGGGTCTATATACGAGTTAAAGTCGCGCCTACGGGTCTAATTATATACGAGATGACGACGCGCCTGAGGGTCTATATATACGAGTTGAAGACTATAGACACGTAGGAGTGTCCATAGGCATCTACTCGTCGGGTCTACGCATGTTTTAAAGCCGCGCCTACGGGTCTATATACGAGTTAAAGCCCCGCCTACGGGTCTAATTATATACGAGATGACAACGCGCCTGAGGGTCTATATATACGAGTTGAAGACTATAGACACGTAGGAGCGTCTATAGGCTTCTACTCGTCGGGTCTACGCACGTTTTAAAGCCGCGCCTACGGGTCTAATTATATACGAGATGACGACGCGCCTGAGGGTCTACACGTAGGAGCGTCTATAGGCTCCTACACGTCGGGTCTACGCACGTTTTAAAGCCGCGCCTACGGGTCTATATACGAGTTAAAGCCGCGCCTACGGGTCTAATTATATACGAGATGACGACGCGCCTGAGGGTCTATATATACGAGTTGAAGACTATAGACACGTAGGAGTGTCCATAGGCTTCTACTCGTCGGGTCTACGCACGTTTTAAAGCCGCGCCTACGGGTCTATATACGAGTTAAAGCCGCGCCTACGGGTCTAATTATATACGAGATGACGACGCGCCTGAGGGTCTATATATACGAGTTGAAGACTATAGACACGTAGGAGTGTCCATAGGCATCTACTCGTCGGGTCTACGCATGTTTTAAAGCCGCGCCTACGGGTCTAATTATATACGAGATGACGACGCGCCTGAGGGTCTATATATACGAGTTGAAGACTATAGACACGTAGGAGCGTCCATAGGCTTCTACTCGTCGGGTCTACGCACGTTTTAAAGCCGCGCCTACGGGTCTATATACGAGTTAAAGCCGCGCCTACGGGTCTAATTATATACGAGATGACGACGCGCCTGAGGGTCTATATATACGAGTTGAAGACTATAGACACGTAGGAGCGTCCATAGGCTTCTACTCGTCGGGTCTACGCACGTTTTAAAGCCGCGCCTACGGGTCTATATACGAGTTAAAGCCGCGCCTACGGGTCTAATTATATACGAGATGACGACGCGCCTGAGGGTCTATATATACGAGTTGAAGACTATAGACACGTAGGAGTGTCCATAGGCATCTACTCGTCGGGTCTACGCATGTTTTAAAGCCGCGCCTACGGGTCTAATTATATACGAGATGACGACGCGCCTGAGGGTCTATATATACGAGTTGAAGACTATAGACACGTAGGATTGTCCATAGGCTTCTACTCGTCGTGTCTACGCACGTTTAAAGGCGCGCCTACGGGTCTATATACGAGTTAAAGCCGCGCCTACGGGTCTAATTATATACGAGATGACGACGCGCCTGCGGGTCTACACGTAGGAGCGTCTATAGGCTTCTACACGTCGGGTCTACGCACGTTTTAAAGCCGCGCCTACGGGTCTAATTATATACGAGATGACGACGCGCCTGAGGGTCTATATATACGAGTTGAAGACTATAGACACGTAGGAGTGTCCATAGGCTTCTACTCGTCGGGTCTACGCACGTTTTAAAGCCGCGCCTACGGGTCTATATACGAGTTAAAGCCGCGCCTACGGGTCTAATTATATACGAGATGACGACGCGCCTGAGGGTCTATATATACGAGTTGAAGACTATAGACACGTAGGATTGTCCATAGGCTTCTACTCGTCGTGTCTACGCACGTTTTAAAGCCGCGCCTACGGGTCTATATACGAGTTAAAGCCGCGCCTACGGGTCTAATTATATACGAGATGACGACGCGCCTGAGGGTCTATATATACGAGTTGAAGACTATAGACACGTAGGATTGTCCATAGGCTTCTACTCGTCGTGTCTACGCACGTTTTAAAGCCGCGCCTACGGGTCTATATACGAGTTAAAGCCGCGCCTACGGGTCTAATTATATACGAGATGACGACGCGCCTGAGGGTCTATATATACGAGTTGAAGACTATAGACACGTAGGAGTGTCCATAGGCTTCTACTCGTCGGGTCTACGCACGTTTTAAAGCCGCGCCTACGGGTCTATATACGAGTTAAAGCCGCGCCTACGGGTCTAATTATATACGAGATGACGACGCGCCTGAGGGTCTATATATACGAGTTGAAGACTATAGACACGTAGGAGTGTCCATAGGCTTCTACTCGTCGGGTCTACGCACGTTTTAAAGCCGCACCTACGGGTCTATATACGAGTTAAAGCCGCGCCTACGGGTCTAAATATATACGAGATGACGACGCGCCTGAGGGTCTATATATACGAGTTGAAGACTATAGACACGTAGGAGTGTCCATAGGCTTCTACTCGTCGGGTCTACGCACGTTTTAAAGCCGCGCCTACGGGTCTATATACGAGTTAAAGCCGCGCCTACGGGTCTAATTATATACGAGATGACGACGCGCCTGAGGGTCTATATATACGAGTTGAAGACTATAGACACGTAGGATTGTCCATAGGCTTCTACTCGTCGTGTCTACGCACGTTTTAAAGCCGCGCCTACGGGTCTATATACGAGTTAAAGCCGCGCCTACGGGTCTAATTATATACGAGATGACGACGCGCCTGAGGGTCTATATATACGAGTTGAAGACTATAGACACGTAGGAGTGTCCATAGGCTTCTACTCGTCGGGTCTACGCACGTTTTAAAGCCGCGCCTACGGGTCTATATACGAGTTAAAGCCGCGCCTACGGGTCTAATTATATACGAGATGACGACGCGCCTGAGGGTCTATATATACGAGTTGAAGACTATAGACACGTAGGATTGTCCATAGGCTTCTACTCGTCGTGTCTACGCACGTTTTAAAGCCGCGCCTACGGGTCTAATTATATACGAGATGACGACGCGCCTGAGGGTCTATATATACGAGTTGAAGACTATAGACACGTAGGATTGTCCATAGGCTTCTACTCGTCGTGTCTACGCACGTTTTAAAGCCGCGCCTACGGGTCTATATACGAGTTAAAGCCGCGCCTACGGGTCTAATTATATACGAGATGACGACGCGCCTGAGGGTCTATATATACGAGTTGAAGACTATAGACACGTAGGAGTGTCCATAGGCTTCTACTCGTCGGGTCTACGCACGTTTTAAAGCCGCGTCTACGGGTCTATATACGAGTTAAAGCCGCGCCTACGGGTCTAATTATATACGAGATGACGACGCGCCTGAGGGTCTATATATACGAGTTGAAGACTATAGACACGTAGGATTGTCCATAGGCTTCTACTCGTCGTGTCTACGCACGTTTTAAAGCCGCGCCTACGGGTCTATATACGAGTTAAAGCCGCGCCTACGGGTCTAATTATATACGAGATGACGACGCGCCTGAGGGTCTATATATACGAGTTGAAGACTATAGACACGTAGGAGTGTCCATAGGCTTCTACTCGTCGGGTCTACGCACGTTTTAAAGCCGCGCCTACGGGTCTATATACGAGTTAAAGCCGCGCCTACGGGTCTAATTATATACGAGATGACGACGCGCCTGAGGGTCTATATATACGAGTTGAAGACTATAGACACGTAGGAGTGTCCATAGGCTCCTACTCGTCGGGTCTACGCACGTTTTAAAGCCGCGCCTACGGGTCTATATACGAGTTAAAGCCGCGCCTACGGGTCTAATTATATACGAGATGACGACGCGCCTGAGGGTCTATATATACGAGTTGAAGACTATAGACACGTAGGATTGTCCATAGGCTTCTACTCGTCGGGTCTACGCACGTTTTAAAGCCGCGCCTATGGGTCTATATACGAGTTAAAGCCGCGCCTACGGGTCTAATTATATACGAGATGACGACGCGCCTGAGGGTCTATATATACGAGTTGAAGACTATAGACACGTAGGAGTGTCCATAGGCTTCTACTCGTCGGGTCTACGCACGTTTTAAAGCCGCGCCTACGGGTCTATATACGAGTTAAAGCCGCGCCTACGGGTCTAATTATATACGAGATGACGACGCGCCTGAGGGTCTATATATACGAGTTGAAGACTATAGACACGTAGGAGCGTCCATAGGCTTCTACTCGTCGGGTCTACGCACGTTTTAAAGCCGCACCTACGGGTCTATATACGAGTTAAAGCCGCGCCTACGGGTCTAATTATATACGAGATGACGACGCGCCTGAGGGCCTATATATACGAGTTGAAGACTATAGACACGTAGGAGTGTCCATAGGCTTCTACTCGTCGGGTCTACGCACGTTTTAAAGCCGCGCCTACGGGTCTATATACGAGTTAAGGCCGCGCCTACGGGTCTAATTATATACGAGATGACGACGCGCCTGAGGGTCTATATATACGAGTTGAAGACTATAGACACGTAGGAGTGTCCATAGGCTTCTACTCGTCGGGTCTACGCACGTTTTAAAGCCGCGCCTACGGGTCTATATACGAGTTAAAGCCGCGCCTACGGGTCTAATTATATACGAGATGACGACGCGCCTGAGGGTCTATATACGAGTTGAAGACTATAGACACGTAGGAGTGTCCATAGGCTTCTACTCGTCGGGTCTACGCACGTTTTAAAGCCGCGCCTACGGGTCTATATACGAGTTAAAGCCGCGCCTACGGGTCTAATTATATACGAGATGACGACGCGCCTGAGGGTCTATATATACGAGTTGAAGACTATAGACACGTAGGAGCATCCATAGGCTTCTACTCGTCGGGTCTACGCACGTTTTAAAGCCGCGCCTGCGGGTCTATATACGAGTTAAAGCCGCGCCTACGGGTCTAATTATATACGAGATGACGACGCGCCTGAGGGTCTATATATACGAGTTGAAGACTATAGACACGTAGGAGTGTCCATAGACTTCTACTCGTCGGGTCTACGCACGTTTTAAAGCCGCGCCAACGAATCTATATACGAGTTAAAGCCGCGCCTACGGGTCTAATTATATACGAGATGACGACGCGCCTGAGGGTCTATATATACGAGTTGAAGACTATAGACACGTAGGAGTGTCCATAGGCTTCTACTCGTCGGGTCTACGCACGTTTTAAAGCCGCGCCTACGGGTCTAATTATATACGAGATGACGACGCGCCTGAGGGTCTATATATACGAGTTGAAGACTATAGACACGTAGGAGTGTCCATAGGCTTCTACTCGTCGGGTCTACGCACGTTTTAAAGCCGCGCCTACGGGTCTATATACGAGTTAGAGCCGCGCCTACGGGTCTAATTATATACGAGATGACGACGCGCCTGAGGGTCTATATATACGAGTTGAAGACTATAGACACGTAGGAGTGTCCATAGGCTTCTACTCGTCGGGTCTACGCACGTTTTAAAGCCGCGCCTACGGGTCTAAGTATATACGAGATGAAGACGCTCCTACGGGTGTACTTATATATGAGTTGACGCCGACACACCAGTTGGTCTTGATATCGACGAGTTGAAGCCAGGCCAGCTGGTCTAGATATAGACGATGCATGTTTTTCGTTTGATGTAAAATTTCCTTGATTGTGATTTTCTTCTGTGCGATATTATGTTGATGGGTTTCTATGTTTATCCCATTAGATCTTGAACCCTGAATCCCCTGATTCACAAAGGCACACACACACATTGTACACCCAATAAAAATTCATTATAAACTCATTTGTTATATTTTTGTATTGTGGATAATTGTTCCAATTTTCCCTTTGTTCTGTTTCGCCCCGGTCAAACATTTCCTTGATCAAGGCAACAAATGTATTGAATTGAGCAAGGATTAAGCCATTTTCATGGTATTAAAAATAGTACGAATTTGTGGGACATGACATCCTTTCATATCGCCAATATTGTATTGGACTTGGCAGTTTAATAGATTCCTGTCAAGAAAGAACAAACAAAATTCTGTCAAAAATTCAAATTTTGTGGGAATTTGGACTCACCAATTATGCCCATAATTGCCGGTTCGCGATTTTGTGTCTGATTTCATCCAACACCAATTATTTCTCCATGACAATTCATTTTTTCCGACACATTTCTTTTTAATGACAATTGTCTTTCACAAATATTACGACGAACAATCTTTCCATAATTGTGAAGAAATTTGCAAGCCACCAAACAATGGAGGAGGCCATGGAGTATTCCAACATCATAGTTTCTTTTCCGCCCACAACATTAGAGCACAAACGCCAACTTCCTGTTTCGTTGCTTGAAAAGAATTTATTAATAACAATCCTTGTTTTTCTGCTTTTAAAATTGTTCCAGCCATTGACTTTTATTGCGTTTTGAAATTGATGGTTTTTGTTGTTTTTTCGCGGTTATTGTACTTTGCTAAAGTTTTTGAAGTTTGGCGCTTTATTATTTTAACGAAATTTGAAATGATTTGATGTACTTACCCCGATTTTCTTCCTTCCGAGTTTTTGCTGCTGCCGGTTCAGTTTTAAATTTTCACAAATATAAATTGTCAAATATAATTTGATAGGGTATGTTCAGTGTGATAGGCAATTGGAATACAGGGTTACCGTGTTGTTCGTAAACAATACATTTAAATTAAAATAAATGAATATATTTTTAAATAATATTTAGGGGGCCTATCTAAGAAATGAACGTGGATCTCTAGGGGTTATTTTTAGTGGCCTAACAAGCAATAAACGTGAATTCTAATAATATATTTTTGGACGTTTACCGCAGCAATAAACATGAATGTTTTATGCATATTTTTGAAGATGACCAAAGCAATAAAAGAGGGATATATATTTATACCCTACACCAAGGTGGTCAGGGTATTATGTCTTTTTTTTGAAGACACATCAGCGTAGTACACGTGAATTTGTAAACGACATTTTGGGAATCTATCGGAGTAGTAAACTTAGATTTTTTAGAGATTACCAGAGCAACAAACTTGGATTTGTAGGGAGTCTACTACTACTACCCTGATTCACAAACACACACATTGTACACCCACCACTCTATGGAGGGTATATTAACTTTGTTATTCCGGTTGTATCTCCTCGAAATATTCATAAGTCGGTATTTTGATGATTTCAGCAACATTATTCACCGGAATTGTTTCAAATTTCCTACTGGAAGATCCTAATGGGTACTACAACCTAAGACAGAAAATTGTCTGTGCAGGTCCACGTCTTCGGTACCTCCCGATACTCCGTATTTTCATGATTTTTGCGACATTATTCACCGTAATTGTAACAAATTTCGTATTTGAAGTTCGTAATGGGCACTACAGCCTATGACAAAAAACTTTGAATACATGTCCACGTCTTCGTGTAGCCCCCATATAACGGTACCTACCGATATTCGGTTTTTTGATGATGCTAGTCACATTTTTCAACGGAATTGTCTGAAATTCCACATAAGGAGTTCCTTGTAGGTACTTTATCCCCTGGAAGATCATCTGTATAGGTCCACGATTTCGTATAGCCCCCATATAACGATGCCCCCCCCCGACATTCGGTGTTTTGACGATTTTAGCCATTATAGCCGGGTGGATAAATGTAATCGACCGTTGGTTTTTGCAGTATAAATGAATTGGCTGTTGTTGAACTAGACTTGGGTTGTTTTTTTTTTTGTGATTGTTTATTGCCCTCAAATGGATCTAAATCATTCAATGAAGAGAAATTATTAATGGGTGTGGTTGAAGCCGTTGTACTCATGTTCGCTGTGGAAGGTGGTGGTAATTGATGATTCATTACCAACGGATTGGCACTATACCATGAATTTTGTTGCCAATCATTGCTATTGTTGCTATTACCAGTTGGACTATAGGGATTTGCGGAAACCAAAGCATTGCTTGGTGGTTTGGCCAATGCATTGTTGCCACCAATATTACTGAGATTGGAATTCATTAGAGATGATAATATATCCGGTGTGGCCGAATTGTTGTGGGAGATCCTAGATGAAGAAATAAAAAAATATTAATATTGACATTCAAATCGATATGGGTCGATTACTTACTTCAACTGCTCTCTTGGTTTGTTGTTTTGTTGATTGGTTGTTATTGCTGAAGTAGAACTGTTAGGCTTATTTACTGGTGGCTGACAAATTGAAAATTTCGAAAACATATCATCATCATTCGAAGGCGATGTGACTTTGCCCGATGAACCTTTCTCCAATTCAGCAGCCAAAATTTTTGCAGCATCTTTGGGTCTGAAATATAAGGAATAATTAATAAAATATGAACATAAATAAAAAACAAAATTAAAGATAGTTGGACAAGGAGTGTTTTTAGAAGAACACAGACCAGCGTGTCTAAATATAAATGAACTAAAGCCAGGTCAGCTGCTCTTTATATAAACGAACAGAATCCAGCTCAACTGGCCGATATATACACGAGCTGAAGCCAGTTCAGGAAGGCTATTCATAGACGAGGCCAAGGAGTATATTCATAGAGGAGCTGCAGCCATGCCATGGATTCCATTTATGAAAGAGGTGAAGCCGCGCCTGTGGGTCTTTTTATAGACGAGCTGAAGCCGCGCCTGTGGGTCTATTTATAGACGAACTGAAGTCGCGCCTGCGGGTCTATTTATAGTCTAGCTGAAGCGGCGACTGCGGGTCTATTTGTAGACGAACTGAAGCCGCACCAGCGGCTCTATTCAAAGGAGAGCTGAAGCCGCACCTGCGGGTCTATTTATAGACGAGCAGAAACCGCACCTGCGGGTCTATTTATAGACGAGCAGAAGCCGCGCTTGCGCTGGTCTATTTATAGACTAGCTGAAGCCGCGTTGCTGATCTGTTTATAGACTAGCTGAAGTCTCGCATGCGTATCTATTTATAGCCGAGCTAAAGCCGCGCCTGCGGGTCTATTTAAAGACGAGCTAAAGCCGCACCTTCTGATATTTTTATAGACTAGCTGAAGCCGCGCCTGAGGGTCTATTTATAGACGAGTTGAAGCCGCTCCTGCGGATCTGTTTATAGACGAGCTGAAGTCTCGGCTGCAGGTCTATTTATAGACAAGCTGAAGCAGCCACACCACCTGGTCTAGAAATAGGTATACGCCATTGATTATATGCTTGGCGGAAAGTATGGACGAATAACCACAAATTTCGGAATTGTGGCTTCGCAGTAAAATTTCTTTGGTTTGATTTTAATCTGTTTCTGATTATGATTATCCCATTACATTTTTCATCGGCTTCGTTTATATATAAAAACTGCAGCCTTATCAAAACAAAGGAACACATTGTACACCCAACATATATTCATTATAAACTCACTTGTTATCTTAAATATTGGCTTTAGGTGGGGTAGGATATGGTCACAGTATTCTTTTTGGCTACTCATTTCGGCAATGAGCAAGGCATTGGGCAAAACGAATGGGAGCATAGGTGAATTGACAAATTCCTTGACCAAATATGGTAGGATTGAATAGAGATTGACACGCGGTAGTGTGGGTATTATTTGTGGTAAGCCTTTGTAGAATTTGGATTTTTGTAAGTTATCCCATTGATAGAGGGAATCTAAATAGCTGAGGGTCTTCACACCAACGTCATGGAAATAGGTTACCTGAAAAATGGAAAAAGAGGAAAAATTAAACAACTTCAACTCAGGAATATTAAAGATTATTTTTCAAGAAATATAAAAATCATTATTGTGGATTCCTTAGAACATATTCTGAATGGTTATCAAGTCCTAAAATAACACACTTTTTCCATACAACATTACTACACCTTTTACATAAATTCATCTCCTCCCTCACCTCTTTAAGATCATGCAACTTAGGCCTCAAATGAGGACTGGGTACAGCATTCATGGGTGGATACTTGCGCTGATTCAAATCGTTGGCATGCCTTCGAAATGCACTATAGTCCGAACCGAATAGTTTCAATGGTTTTCCAGCATAGATGATAAAAATCAGAATACCCAAAGAAAACAGATCACTATCCGTAGAATTAATATTATTCAAGGCAATTTCCGGAGCCGTATATTCCAAACTTGGCTGGGCTAACATATGCATCGATGTCGAATATTCATTGCATGGCCAGTAGGGTTTACCATCCGGCTGAGGTTGATTGGCAACACCGAAATCAAAACCAAATAATTTCCAGCTACGATTCTTGTTAATCACAATTGTTTCGGCACAAATATTACGATGAACAATCTTGGCATCGTTGTGTAGAAATTGCAAACCATCAAACAGCTGGAGCAGGCCATGGCGTATCTCTACATCGTAAAGTTTCTTTTCCGCCCTCACTTGATCGCCCACAACATTAGCCAAGGAGGCAAAAACTGGTTCTGTGGCAAAGGCCAATGAGTCACGACTCTCCTCCAAAGGATGTTGCACCGTCAAGATGGCGTATCGTTGTCAATTGTTGTACACCTCTGCGTAATGTTTTTAGAATTGCTTCGCGATCCTCCTTGGACCATCGGTCCAAAGCTTTCTTTTCGAACACAAACACCGACACTTCCTGTTCCGTTGATTTCTTGTATCCGTTGTAGACTTTCTGCAGCAGACCCACCCCAGCCGTGCAAACTTGATCGAGTACTTCATATTCTCGGGTAACGTTGTTCCCTGGCAGGACACCTGATAATTGCGAAACAGTGGTGTGTACTGTTGAATAGAATTTATTAATGACTGTTTTATCTTTTATTTTTCCACCGACTGTTAACTTTTTATTGCGTTTAGTAAATGAATTGTTTTAGTTGTTGTTTTTCGTGGATATTGCACTTTTGTTACACGTTTTTGGGCTTTTCGTTTTGTTATTTTAAGGATATTTGCAATTTTTTTATGTATTTTCCCAGATTTTCTAGTATTTTTTCTTCCTTTCTGTTTTTTCTCTGTTTGTTGGTTTACGTTCAGTTTTTCACAGATATGAATTGTCAAATTCAATGTTATGGGGTATGTTCAGTGTGTTGGGCGATTGGAGTATAGGGTTACCGTGTTTTTCGTAAACACAACATTTCAATGATTTAAAAAGAGCACATATATTTCTAAATAAAATTTGTGGGGATTATCTGAGGAATGAAAGTGGACCTTTAAATATTATTTTTGTTTGAGTCTACAACCGTGGAAGATAATAATAATTTTTTCAGTGTCTACCAAATATACGTGAATGTTTCGTGGATATTTTTGGAGATTACCAGAGTAATAAATGAAGGAAGTTTATCCTACACAAATGCTGTTGCTGGCTACCAGAGAAAGTCAATCGAAAAGCGCTAGATTGGGATGTGCGACCCCTCAATTTTTTCAGTGCCTTTGGCTGTGAACTTATTAATTCTACAATGACTCTCAATCAAAGCAAATAACGCTAGCCTATCTTTTTAGCTTCACAAATATATAGTAATGGCACTTTCTCGGGACAAACAATATAAACTATTACCATCAATGAGCAAAGCATTTGGCAACCGCTCCACTAATGAAGAAAATGGAAGAAAGAAATAATGGTGGAAAAAAGTGATAGGAGATATAGTTATAAGGGCGATCCACGGCTAGAAATCTTGCCGTGTTGTCTTTAACCACTTAAGTTTTCTGGCTAATTGAAGAATTGCTGTAGGGTCAGTGTTAAAGGACGAAGACAAATCATGTGACACCTGTTCCTCCTCCAATCTGTGTCTCACGTTAACGAGTGCTGGACAGTTGGCTCAATTTCTTCTTCGTCTTGACAGATTCTACAGCAGTCTATATCTTCACTGTCCCATTTCGTAGTCATTGCCCTCACCTGGCAGTGACCTGTGATGATACCCACCACAAGTCTTAAATCAAATTTAGACAAGGACAGTAGCGACTTTGTTCTTTTCTCCAAGAGTGTGGGAAGGATTCTTTGGGAGATGCTGCAGCATCTCCTTTCGTCCAGCCATTTTTGTTGAATTCTCTCAGAGTCGTGTCTATGGATTACTTTAGGAAGGGGCACAGGGGTGGTTTGACTGAGTTCTCAACTTCAATGGTAGCTGATTCGGACCATAGCCAAGCCATTTCGTCTGCAGTCTCGTTGCCTGAAATATTGTAATGACCAGGAACCCAACAGAGCATGTATTTTCCAGGGATCTCCTGCAGTCCAAAACAACTCCAACACTTAATGGTAGACGAGTTTAAGGCTTTCAGTGCCACTTGACTATCGACGTATATAGTCAACGGACTGCTAACCTCGTTGTTCCTCGTGACCAAAAAAGTATATGTTTTTTTTGAAAGCAAAGGTTTCCGCCTGTAATACGCTACAGTTGTTTTTAAGCTTACATGATTAGCGAACATTCCATCTTTGAACCGTCGGTATAAACAGTTATGCCTCAGAAAAGTGGATTGTTACGGGCCCAGGCGTCCCCGTCAGGTATGTGGATGTCAGGTGGGTCAAAGCTCAACCGTGGTGAAATATTATAACTTGTGTTGGCTTTCACTCCCACATTCCTTACACGCCCTACAAGAATGTCCAAAGGATTGACTACGCCATAGGTTTGGTTCTCTTGGTCGAAGTGCACACCTAATTGCCTGTTCCCCTACGTGTATGCTTAGTGGGCCGTGCTCTTGAAGGCACCCGTTATTAGTCAATGTCAATATGCCGTAATTAAGATGATTTCTTCAAGGAATGCCATCAGACGAGAGTTCCATAGAGTAGAATGGGACGAACAATGGACTCATACATCCATTTGCCGATGCTGAAATTATCCGATTTTTTACCGATCACTTTTAACGAGTAAAATGGGCCAGGAAGCGTCATCGGTTTAGCCCTTTACGTAATAAAAAAGGTTGGCGGCTGAATGATTGATGATTCCGAAAACATATCATCGTTTGATGTTGTTGTTGTAGCTGTAGTACGTGTACAGGGCGAGATGAAAAAACTGCAACCAACTTCAGAAACCCCACTCCTCCGACAGCTGTTAAAATTATGCCTTCTTTACAAGTGTACAAAAGCATTTTGGTGAGAATTTTCCAGGAAAAAAGTTATTCGTGACAGAATTCAAGCGTGATAGTGTGATTTCTTTTCATCAGCAACATCAGTAGAAATAGTTCGAAAAGTAAAGAACCAAACTAATCGAAATCCGCGTCGCAGTGGCCGAAAAATGGCTCATGAGCTGAACATATCGCAATATTCCATTCGGTAAATATTGACAAATGAGCTCAGGGTAAAGCCATTGAAATTCCAAAAAGTGCAATAACTTACAGCGCAACAGAAAGAAAATAGACTCAACAGAGCTAAAGAGTTGCTTTGCTTGGCTGAAAGTGGTGAACTGCCGAATTTGGTTTTCTCCGCTACCGGCGACAGAAGCGAAATCGGCCTGTACGAGCCGCTTTTACTGGCATCCTTGCCTGACTCCAGTAGCGGAACCACCCGGCCCATTTTCCAGGTTTCGGGCACTATGTGGATTAGACAGCACTATGTGGGCTAGCGACAGGTTGAGAACTTTCGTTAAGCACTTGACTGCCGATGTATACAGCAGCATTACCATTGAGATTCCGTCCGTGTCCCACACTTTGGATGACTTAGCGTTCCGGATTGCATTTGCAACATCACCCATCGTAAACTGTGGTGGTTTCTCCTCGGCGGGAAGGGATCTGATATGACGTAGTACTCTTCGCTTCGCCCTTTCGTTTTCGGTGTGGTCGATATCACGCTCGTTTGCTAATCCCGCTGCCTCTGCTGGGAAGTTTGGTCTTATCTCGGGTATTCGACTAGCAGGTGTATAGCGAGCTTCTGTAGCTGTGATGTAGTTTCGGAAAATCATTTCTGCAACCCGACCATCAAAAGGGTTGGGCAGTTCTCTGAAGCGGCGGTTGCTGCATTACGAATGAATAAGTGAACTCGCTGGGGACTACGTTACTGCAGCACGTCGCAACATAATCCCTTTCAACAACATTCCATGTGATTTTGGCCGACGGACCTCTCTCGAATTCAGTAGCCAAAATTTTGAGCAACATCTTTGGGTTGGGAATAGAAAAAATAAACGAGAGCCAGCCCAATGTGTCTAGATATAGACGAACTGAAGCCAGGCCACTAGGTCTTCATAGAAACGAACAGAAGCCAGCTCAACTGGTCGATATAGACGAGCTAAAATGAAGACGGGCATATGGATCGATTCATATACGAACTGAAGACGCGCCTGCGGGTCTGTAAATACGAGTTGAAGACTATAGACACATAGGAGCGTCTATAGGCTTCTACTCGTCGGGTCTACGCACGTTTTAAATCCGCGCCTACGGGTCTAATTATATACGAGATGAAGACGCGCCTGAGGGTCTATATATACGAGTTGAAGACTATAGACACGTAGGAGTGTCCATAGGCTTCTACTCGTCGGGTCTACGCACGTTTTAAAGCCGCGCCTACGGGTCTATATACGAGTTAAAGCCGCGCCTACGGGTCTAATTATATACGAGATGACGACGCGCCTAAGGGTCTATATATACGAGTTGAAGACTATAGACACGTAGGAGTGTCCATAGGCTTCTACTCGTCGGGTCTACGCACGTTTTAAAGCCGCGCCTACGGGTCTATATACGAGTTAAAGCCGCGCCTACGGGTCTAATTATATACGAGATGACGACGCGCCTGAGGGTCTATATATACGAGTTGAAGACTATAGACACGTAGGAGTGTCCATAGGCTTCTACTCGTCGGGTCTACGCACGTTTTAAAGCCGAGCCTACGGGTCTATACGCGAGTTAAAGCCGCGCCTACGGGTCTAATTATATACGAGATGACGACGCGCCTGAGGGTCTATATATACGAGTTGAAGACTATAGACACGTAGGAGTGTCCATAGGCTTCTACTCGTCGGGTCTACGCACGTTTTAAAGCCGCGCCTACGGGTCTATATACGAGTTAAAGCCGCGCCTACGGGTCTAACTATATACGAGATGACGACGCGCCTGAGGGTCTATATATACGAGTTGAAGACTATAGACACGTAGGAGTGTCCATAGGCTTCTACTCGTCGGGTCTACGCACGTTTTAAAGCCGCGCCTACGGGTCTATATACGAGTTAAAGCCGCGCCTACGGGTCTAACTATATACGAGATGACGACGCGCCTGAGGGTCTATATATACGAGTTGAAGACTATAGACACGTAGGAGTGTCCATAGGCTTCTACTCGTCGGGTCTACGCACGTTTTAAAGCCGCGCCTACGGGTCTGTAAACGAGTTAAAGCCGCGCCTACGGGTCTAACTATATACGAGATGACGACGCGCCTGAGGGTCTATATATACGAGTTGAAGACTATAGACACGTAGGAGTGTCCATAGGCTTCTACTCGTCGGGTCTACGCACGTTTTAAAGCCGCGCCTACGGGTCTAACTATATACGAGATGACGACGCGCCTGAGGGTCTATATATACGAGTTGAAGACTATAGACACGTAGGAGTGTCCATAGGCTTCTACTCGTCGGATCTACGCACGTTTTAAAGCCGCGCCTACGGGTCTATATACGAGTTAAAGCCGCGCCTACGGGTCTAATTATATACGAGATGACGACGCGCCTGAGGGTCTATATATACGAGTTGAAGACTATAGACACGTAGGAGTGTCCATAGGCTTCTACTCGTCGGGTCTACGCACGTTTTAAAGCCGCGCCTACGGGTCTATATACGAGTTAAAGCCGCGCCTATGGGTCTAACTATATACGAGATGACGACGCGCCTGAGGGTCTATATATACGAGTTGAAGACTATAGACACGTAGGAGTGTCCATAGGCTTC